GTTTTGCCAAACCGGAAGTACTTCTGGCATAAAGGCGATCATAACCGGATGTGGAGAACATTTTGTGTATGTATGTGCTTTAGTGGCGTATATGGACACGAATATATGTATGTGTGTATGTGTGTATGTAAATGCAATTTGTTGTCAGTTCAATTCACTTCGCAAACACTTGCAATCGGCGTCTAATAGTTTTCTGTTGTTTACAGCCAGGCCACGTTACTCCCTGCTCCTCACACTCCTCGATTTGCTTATAATACTTTGAGATGCGCTTTTATGGAGTAATAACGTCAGAATATTTTACTCTTAACATCCAATTTTTATTTCTCGCTTTAATTTTTATGTATTTTAAGTAATATCAATCATTAGCCTTATCAACTTTGGAGAACTAAAATTTGACTAAAAATTGTGCCACTTTTATCTTCTGCACTTCACGACCGCGAAGAAAGCAGCATAGCCACTCGCCGCCACTTGTCTGCTCATTTGAAACGCTCTACGGCTACTGACCGGCAAAGTAGTATTACTCACTCAATTTTTGCTGATGACTCTTTGTTTTTTCCACATTCTCACATTAACATTTTTCTTCTTTTTTTTTTGTATACGCATGAATAAACTTTTGCCTATGTATGTATGTATGTCTGTTCATGAATTGTTCTTTTAATCGAACACAAAAAAAAATTGCGCTCTGTTTCACCGCTCACATAAATAATCACTTGCTAATGGGTTGAACATGAAGTTGTTTTTTTTTTTGTATTTGCGTTTGCTTATCCAAAAAAAAGAAATACTAAAAATTTCCAATTCTTTAATAAAGTGAAAGTTTCTTTTTAATAAACACTCATGCACATTTCATTGTTCTAAAATGGAAAGAAAAAACAATAAAAACCAAGTAAGAATATATGAACAAAGTTAGTAGAGTGTATCAGTGTACCCTGCAGGAAATGTGTCTAACTATACGGTAACTTGAAGCTGGTTAGGTAGGAAAGCTAACTAAATTTCCATGGCGATGGCCACGAAACAGTCAAGGGGTTACCTAACTTGTAACTAACTACTTTTGGACATGAAATAACAGTTGGAAAATCGATATATATTTTTAATCTTTTTTTTTTAATTATTTACTTTATTTAACATTACATATTTGTTCTAATATTAATTAAATTAACTAATTAATATTCTGCTGTAGGAGGTCCCATATTCGAAGTCCGTCAGACATAACCTCAAAATTATAATATAAAATTTCAATCTTCGAGAAAAAGTGCATTGAAAGTAAGTATTTAAATAGAAACTTCCTTAAAGAAAACAATCACCCGACTACATCTGCATGACTCCTGCATTACTTTTCAACTAGTTCCAAAGTTAGCTTTTTGTAGTTAACTTTAAGTTGTATACATACTTTATAGGAATCCCGCAAAAAATCTAACTGCAAGTGGATTATTTTTTTATCAATTGATAATTCTTTTCTGCAGGGTATCTACTCACATACATACATACATTCATACATACATACATATGTGTGTACGCATACGATTACTTTGTACAACATTTATTAACAATGCTTACTTTCACGCATACCGCTATTGTTGCTTATCATCTATTGCACAGCACAATCATTACAAAACGCTTAAGTGCCTCTCATTAAAATCGCTCCATCTCTCGCAGTTCTCCCAAAACTCATACTCTCTTCGCTAACAACACTTGACTAAATGTCGATTAAATTTATTGAATTTAATGCTCACCGTGGTGCTGCCAGCTGGAAATTTTGCAACAAATACGATATCTAGTGTTTACAAAATGGCCAGATAAAAATGATAGAGAATAAAATACTTACATAAAACAACAACATTTTGATATATGAGGATAATGGCTTTATTTTGAAGCTACTTTTATGGCAATAAATATGTAGTAACACATCATTCAAATTATCGTCTCGTCTTCGCTGGCGGTTCTTCAAGCTGTCGGACAGTGGGAAATGTCGGGAAAACCGTGCATCGCCTGATTCCCTCTAGGCATTCAATATCAAAAAAATTTTAATGCCAAATTTGGGCATTAAATATTCTGGCAACCTTAACTCGCATTATCGGTGCACTCTTATACAAAATATTCGTATGTATCCATACAAGAATATATACAAAGCTATACATATTTGCGCTCATACTTAACATTTAACATATGGGCTTTTTGTTTCTTAATTGTTATAAACAAATACTTGAACATTTGTATGTACATTTGGATATGTGCAAGTATTTACATTTTATCATTTCGGTTGTTCAAGATATTTATCTTTAAAATAAGTATTTTGTTCTACTTTTGTTATTTTTTAATAAACAAGATTATTTTCGTGTATTGTTTTCTTATATTAGAGCTGATAAAATTCAGTTTTGAACACACATAAAATTTAAGATATTTTTTTAATTTTCTAAAAGATTTATTAATAGAATTTAGCATCCATAGTAACTAATTTAAGTGAATGTACATTCGGAGTTAATCATAAAGATAAAAATCACTTGCATACTTGTATTGCTTGGAAATATTTGATAAAAACTGCATTTTTAATTAACCGTTAACTTTCATCCTGGCAACGGAAGCACCCTCGGGACAATAAACGACGTATCTGCTGTAAAACCGCATTTCTCTCCAAACTTTTCTAAGAAGTATTAGCTTGCAATACAACTCGCCTGTTCTCCCTAGAAATGCCAAGCTGTTTTTGTCTATACGATCCATCGAAATTGTCAGCTTATATTGGATGCGAGTGACATAAACAAATTAACAAAAAATTCCGAAAGCCCAATTTGTGATTAAAATGGCTATTTTTGTATGATTACTTTTAAAAATCAAAGTTTTAAGTATCATCTTGATGAATGTAATAAGAGTCCACGTATTGATCCATTCTACCAAATTACTTTAAAATACTTGACAATGCATGCATTGAAAACGTACTATACATACGGTGACCATTCCGTACCGATTTTGGCGGGACAGTACCGATTTTGAGAAAATTGTCCCGCTGAATATTTTTTAAAAGCCGGGACGTATAAATGTGCCGATTCAGCGGTTTCTTTATTAATTTAAAAAGAGTTTCCCTGTACTCTGCCCCAAAAACAATTTTTTTAAGTAGCTTGGACTTACCATTGATTTTTGTTTTTTTTTTTTTTTTTTTGAAGGTATTGCTCATTTTCTCCATACAAAAAAATTGTCGAACATACTTTGCATGGAAGAAAATGCGCGAACACAAAAATTGCCCTTGCACTTTGAATTTAATAGGCATTCTCAAAACTATTCTAAAAAATCCCCTTAAAATGTTTAAAATTTTTGTCAGCATTTGTTAAAATTCAAAGCATTGAAATTTTGATTTACATAGTTTTTTTAGATAGTGAGCTATATTTTCAAAAAAAAAATTATAAAAATTTTGTAAACAAAGAAAAGTAGCTAAAACTTGTCAAGATGCCTCTTCCCTATTGACATTCTTGCCACCGTATATATTTATATTGTGTATACATTTTTGTTTTTCTCTTGGTTTTGTTTTAAATAAAACTGTATTAAAAGATGTTCTGTCTTTTTATTCTAACAACAAAATTGTGTGTTCAGTTTCGATGCATTACAAATGTCCCAGATTTTCGTCCACAGAAATCTGGTCACCGTAACTATACAGTACAGTACAGTACAGGACAGCAACCGATAGGTGTACTCGTGAGAAAGCTAGGGTTTGGTGTAACTAACTGTATCAACGAATTGTGTGGTAAGTTAGAGACACTCAAACTACACCTACTCATTGCTAAAGAACAGTAGACGAGAGGCGACAGATATGTTTGATTTTTCCGAAAACTATTATTATGTGGTTCAAGATGCATCACAATCTTTTCATTTCATTTTAGTCAAACCGATCGCTTTATTCCAGAAATTTAAAAGAATACTCCAAAAAAAACTTACATATACATATTTGTGTATAACTTATGATGCTAAATAACATTTTAAAAACACATTCCAAATTGCCAATTTAATTAGTCACAAAACTGATTTTGGTACTGGAGCTAAATGGAACTACAGTGCAACTAAATATAGAAAAATGGTTACGACGGAAGTGAGTTTTTTGACTCTTTATTCAGCTAGGCAAAAAAAAAATACTCTAAAAATATTCAGATTTTTGCCTTTACTCAAGTTTATTACGACAAAATGTGACGAAAGCTTAACAAAAGGTTTGACTCCGGATCAACAAAACCGGGAAAACTAAAAAGCTATTCCTTTTAGATTTCCAATAAGCGAGAAGTCATCATTAAAAGATTTTCAAATTCACTCGAAGTGAACAAATTTTATTGGGAAACAACTATTAGTTAGTGCTCAACAATCCAATGTGATTCTCCAATTGGTCTTTAATATATCATTTAAATACTAAAAATATAACAGTAAAATAATTTCCACCTTTTTTATTGAAACGACACAGATAAGTTTGAATATTTTTTTTTTTTTTTACTCCTTTTATAATAGTTAAATAAATATCGCATTACAATAAATCACTTTAAAATTAAGGGGCTTTAATATTACCCTTTCTACTTTGACTCTTTGTTACTAATTTTTATTTACTTTTTCTCTTCGTATAGGTTATAATATAGTTGGTTTTCCACTTAATATTACATATTTAAAATTTCATTTCTCTGATACTTTTTATGTACATTTTTACGCGTCGATTTTATTCTTTCGTATGCACATGCTTTGCCAATGCTGCCACTTATGCGGTTTTGAACATAATTTAAAAGCAGTGCTGTCATGTCTGAAGAAATTCTTTTTCTCAAGCTCATCGCAATTTTTAGTTCAAGGTTAGAGCTAAGTTGGATATCAGCTTAAGAACTATGAATTTTTCCAATATTAGTGAAATATATATATTTTTTTTTTTGGGGTTTGTTGGGTCATGGTAAATATTTTACACATTAGCAACCATTTCATCCTAGAAAACTTTGTTTGTTTAAAAACGGTTCTGACCAGAGCGCGGAGTTCGCCCTATATATTCATGCCTATCTACTTCTTGTATGAAAGGATTTTATTTTGCTCTGAAATTTTGTGGTTCCCTTCTGCTTGAGCTGTAAAAAAAAAACATTATTTGTAACTGTATACATATGTGAGTATGTACGTAAGTATGTATATATATATGTATATTTATTGAGTAAATACGTAGCTATCTACTTACTTCTTGTTCGCTTTGTTCTCGCCACGTACGTTTTATGAATAATGCTATGTCGTGAAATTGTAATCGGTTAACTTGGATAAATCGCGCAACAGCTGCGCTGAAAACTAAAATTAAACCAACAATGGCGGTGATATTGTAAGATGCCAAGCTTTTGCTACACCATTGCTGCTTACTTAGCCAAATGCAGCAGCTGCCAAGGCATCCAGTGAACTGTAATTAAAATATTTAGAAAAAGATCTAAGTATGTAGGTGAGACTAAGTAAGCATTGTAAATTTAGGTACTTAAGCAATATTCGTTAGGTAAGAGAGATCGGTCAAACGCCACCTGGAAATTTTTTCTTTTTCTTTCAAAGGGGTACTTCAAATATTTCCGTACTATAGGATGTCTGGAGTCCCAACTGTTCACTATACAGTGGGCAGAGAACACTCAGCTGCAAGCATATGATAGCCATCTCATAAAATTGTTTCTCTCCATGAGAGGGGGACGCTAAGCTCCTAGGTACTTAGTGGGCGAACAGTACACTTTTATGTAAGTTGGCTCTTACCAATTAAAACATTTGCAGGAGATGTGTCTGTACTGTCCTTAGCGGACTGCGGCTTACGTCTTCTGGGAGTAGAGTTTCTTAAGCTCATCTCCGAAACTAATTTTATCAAATTATTTCAGTTTGCAAAGAGATCTGCCATGCTATGGACATGAATGTCTAACCTACTCAACTAAAAAAAACCAGACACACGTTCGTTTAGAGTAAAGAATATTTCAGGCGGAGTTTCTGCGGAGATCCCCATACAAATTTGTATGGAAGAAAGCTTTTTGGTACACAATGTAAAACATTTTCTTTGACAGATCCTAAGCTGGTCTCAGTGCAGTTGAAGAGTTCTTATATGTACTAATCATAGTTAGCTCTTTTATCACATTTTTAACACAACATACATATTTTACATTAATAGAATAAAAAAATAGATATTTTTTACCAGACTTAAGAGTTTGAGAAAATCACAAATAAAATGAATCACCCGACTAGTAATCAACGGTTTAGTAGCGCGCTGGCAGTCCGGTGACTTTGCTGCAGTTGAGTCTGTAGCTGGAGCCATAGTTAATGTTGAACTTAAGCAACTTAACAAAAACGCTTTTGTTTTAAGGTGCATTTAGAAATTTTATAAAATGTTGGAAGTGATTGTTTAGTTAAGTGAATAGCAGCACATTGTGTGAATACAAGCAATGCTGCGGTTTTTTTTTATGGGAAATTCACAAAACAACTAAACTCGCTTATCAAAGGTGTACGTGTTTGTTGTATGCATGTACTTATAATGAACATACATACATATATACATATGTATAGTATATAGTTGAAACTGGATAATAAGACTAAGAGTATTGTGGATTTTTAAATTCTGGAACACTAAGGGCCGTTTTCTGAAGTAACCTTTAACTTTAAAGCTCACTTTATATTTAAAGTTTGGATTAAAAAAATAAAGCTTTGTCTTAAGCTAAGCATTTCGGTTTTTAACATATGTATGTATGTTTATTGGTTGTAAACCATTTTAAAGCCGATAATAAAGTGCTTTCCTTTAGAAACAATCGCATTTGCATTTAAACCTCAAAATATAAAGTGAGCTTTAAACTTACAGGTTACTTGAGAAAACGGTCCTAAGTACTAATAATGGCGGTTTCTTTTCTACGAAAAATGCTGCCTTCTCATTGCCATCTTCTAACGGTTTGCGTGAAGCTGGAAGCAGTTATCGGACTACAAAAAAATTCTGTGTGGTAGAATCTAGAAAAAAAATGTGGTAGGTTTCAAATAAATGTGGTAGATCTCAGTTTTGGGATAGTTTATTATTTTTTTACTTTGATATTTTTGAAACGTGCATTTTAGATTTTTATTGACATATTTTTTTTTTAATTGAACAAACTATTTTTCGCTGATTTGAAAATAAAATCAAAAGTTCAAGCTATCTAGTCTGGACTGTATTTACATATGTAATCATATATATGTATGTACATGTGTGCAGCTACAGAAATGGTTATTCTTATGTATACACTGGCAACCTTTTGTGGATTTTTCATTATATTATTTAACAAATGGGTGTTTCTATGAAAATGTAAATCAAAAATGCAAGTAAATCGGTTTAAATGACTTCTTGACTTTAAATTTCGTATTCAGATGTCGTAAAAAGTTTATGTGGAGAGAACTCAAATAAAATTAAATAAAAAAATTAATTATATATGCATTATTAGTAAAAATATTGTTAATTCAAATTAAAACCAACAACAAGTTGCTTCTGATTTAATACGAATTGGTGGTAGAGGTCCGTAATTTGACTTTATTTAAAGGATGTTTACATATACATATACTCTGAAACTACTTCGGTTTTTGTCACTTCCGTTATGACCTTCTTTTCATCGATTTTTCCGACACCCGCAACTTTTTTGGTGATGCACTCTAATGTGCATACGTATGTATGTATACACTTGCGGGCATGGGAGAATCTTCACATTAACCTCGTGTTCGATTTTAAAGAAACGAGGTGAAAACTAAGCGATAAGTGTCAATATTAATAAAACAAAAAGCTCTACGATTTCAACATGAGATGAACTGATTTCATTGAAACATTTGAAAAATATGATCTTAAAAACAAAAAAGCTTTTTACTGCCATAGCCGAGTTAGTAGAGATGTCGACTGTTATTCTGTGAGTCGCAGGTTCAAAGACCGACACATGCAGCAATTCATTGATAGGGAAAATGTTTTCTGATATAAAAAACTTTTGGATTTTTAAACGAAATTTCATTTTCATAGTCGTCGATAGTATTTTCAATATTGGCTGCGTTTCTTTATACATTCCGGATAATCCCATTTCACAGCCGGAATAAACAGAATACGTTTGAAATATACGTCAACATATCATCAGTAACGTTCTAAAGAATAAATAAACAAAAAAGTTTATTACAAACGTTCAGAACGAATAAAGAAATGCAGCCATTAATAATTTATCAGGAAAAGTGCTCTAGATTTCTGTGCTAGAATCCAAAATCTTGATAAATATTTAAAAAAAAAAAACACAATACAAATTATAAAAATGTTGAATTACTCAAACGCACAGAATCGGGCTGTAAATATCTACTACTTGGGATTTACTCTTAGAAAGAAAGAGCGTGGTGAACTGAAAGGGAATATAAATACACGTAGCATGTTTCAATTATCTTGGTTTTTTTTTTTTNAATAAATAAACATAAGTGGCACACAATATCACTTTGAAATGGCGTGCTATAGATATGACCGATACTGTAGGTATATACATACATCAAACGGTTGGGGCGAGCAAAGACGCTACTTACAAAGGATACAAAGAGGTTAATGGGATTTAGTGAGCTGAAATTATAAATAAACCCGCGGTAAGAACACCACTGAGAAGCACGCCAGACATCTACTCTTCCCTCAGCTACCTAAGAACTGAATTAGACATGTTCATGTGACATCGCAGGCGAAACACTGTGGACAGCTGAGATCATGTTTCGCTCTTACAACGCAAAAATCACCAACTATATTCCAGTACTTCAAAGGCTGGATTGTATGATACTATTTAAGTGAAGGAATGCAAGAAGTAGCAAATTGCTTATTCTTCTTCTTCTTATCTGGCGCTCGAAACAAATGCATTATGACTAAAGTTTAATCATAGGCACAAATTTCGTTGAATAAAATTCATTTAGAGTTTGGGAAAAAACTTTTAAATTTAAATTTAAATTTTAAAACTGATAGAACATTTCCAACTACCCAATATTTAATTTTTTTTTAGAAGAAGTTAAATAAATTTTTTTTTTTGTTATTATCGTAATTATTAAAACTTGTATTTTTATGCTATTTGTTATTTATTTTTATTTTTATTTTTCTTTTCTAATGCTACTCATAAGTTTTATAACTTTTTTTATTAGGATCCCCTTATCAAATAAATCAAATCAAATTCCACACATTCTTGGAGCATTACTGTCTTCCTCCTCACATATTAGAACTGGAAATACTCTGTACCATTTTGTTTGTAAATAAACAAAATGTGTTTGTAACTCTAAGAAAGTGTCAGAATTGGTTTCTTCTCAAACACCACTGTGTAGTTTTCGCATGTGCTTGATTAATTCCAAATTCTGTTCCAAAGTTTGTGTAATTACTATGAAAAACTTATAGATATTTAATCAGCTCTACGCTTTGCATATTCGTCTTTAGAATTTATAAAAGTTTTTTAATTTATTTTCGTTAACTTTCATTTGCTAACACATATTCCGAAGACAAATTTAGTCATTTTATAAAATTCAATATAAATAAGAAAATTACTGAAACCTTGCATGGTTTTCTGACTGAACTTGCTATATTAGAAGCTTCTACTTTAATTAAATATCTTCTTAATTATTAGTTATTGCCCGCATATATTTTAGTTTAAGAAAGCAAGTAAAAAAAATAAAGTCATTCTTCTATATGGATCAATGAATGAATTTTGTGGTCCAAACTTTTCTTTTATTTATATTAAAGTTCTGCCAAAAGAAAAAAAAATAGTGTTTGGAAGTGTCGATACCAAAAGTACTAAAAATTCGATTCTCAAAAGGATCGACAGTACCCGATTTTTTGAATTATCGATACTTAGTACCGCAAACTACTCAGTACTCCCAAAAGAACTCGAAAGTACTCAAAACTTAAGTACTCGAGTACTCGAAAGTACTCAATACTCAATAATACTAATATGTTTCATTCATCACTTTAATACATACATACAGGATTTATTCACAGTACTCAGTATTAAGTGTCGAATAGATAATTACATTTACCGGTATTCAGAAATGCATGTTATAAATTTCAAGCTTCAATAATTTTTAAACACAATACTTGCACATATTTGCACTGCTTGTGAGATTTCTACACTTCGCATAATTTTACCTACATGTGTATATTTAAAGAAAGTACTCAGTACTCTCAAAACTACCCCATCCCTAAAAGTATTGATACCAAAGAACTCGATTGCTGGTCTAAAAGTTAAAGTTAGTAAATTTGATATATACAACCTTTTTTATTTTATCAAACTCTTTATGTGGAGGTATCTCGAAAACTTCATGTCGTACAAAAAAAAAATTTTTGAATTTTCGAACTCAGCGACTGATTTTACATAGCAATTGGATGGTTTAGTTCTTGAGTACAAAAAAAAAAAATCATTTATTATTTATAAACCAGTGTAGTCAGTATTTCGTAATCAAAAGTAAAGCATGATGGCTTTTTGTTAACTTATCGAATGAAAATGTAGCATCTCGCATTCATTCTGAGAATGAATCCGCCTTTTTATTTGCATAACGCCATTTTCTTTATGCAGCAATTAATTAAGTCAGCATATTAATTAATATGAACCACAAATGTGCAATCATGCAGCCGCACATTTTTTTGTATTTTTTTTTCATAAAATTTTAAACGAAGCCATGGCACCAATTTGTTCAGTCGCTCGTAAAAGCACTTGCATACATATTTTCAGAAAATATTCGCAGTTCGAATATAATAGTAAATGATGAAATCCGGCAAAAAGCATAAACTATGGCTCCACAAAACAAATAATGACCAATTAATATCGGGTTAATGAAACAAAATTTATTACAATTCAAGGAGTCCTTATTTTTGCATCAATGACTGATTGTGTTGTAGTTAATACAGGCAGCAGCGCAGGTAGTGGAAATGGCGGTTGTGGTCGTGTGAAAGCAATAATAAACTCAAACAATGCGTACTAAAAGCGATAATCAAAGTAACACTTGAAAGATGGAATTGCAATTAACCACAAGACATTTAATAGAATAAAATCAAAAATGCTCGAAACTTGGCGCCGCCAATTAATGACCTACAATTATGCGCTAAAATGGAAAATCGCACAAAATACAAGCGTTTGAATGACAACACTGGAACAAGGCGAGTCGAGTCGAGTCGAGTCGATCGTCGCTAAGGCAACCACAAAAATCGCCCAATTTAACTTTGAAAACTTACTCACAAACCTATAAGGATTATCGAAAGAGGGTGGTGGGTGGTTGAAAAATTCACGCTCTCTGCTGATTTGCTTTTGATATTGCCTTTGG